AGAAGGAAGAAGAGGCCATGTGGGGAGCAGGAGAGCCCATGGAAGGGGCCACGGAAGCGGCGCAGGGGGTGCCGACAGCACCGGAGCAGCAGCATCAGCAGCGGCAGCACCAACAGCAACAGCCTCAACAACCAGGGCCCGGCTGGCAGGGTCCACAGGGAGCCGTGATCGGCCCGTTTGTGTCCCAGGAGGTGCGAACGGCGGTGCGCGAGGGGATGGTGTGGCACCACCAAACGCTGCACATTACCTGGGCCTTGGGGCCCAGACACTCGGGGCCTGCGCCGATGGACCCGGACCCAGAGGAGGCGCGGGTATGGGAGGAGGCGCCACCCCACAGCAACAGCCGCGACCCCAGGCGGAGACCGGCGGCGAGCACGGCGGGCGCGAGTGGGGTAAAGGCCAGCGCGGCGGAAGAGGCGCCGAAACAGGCTCCGAGGGAGGTGGAGCCGGAGGCAGCGGAGCCAGAGGCAGCGGGGCCGGAGGCAGTGGAGCCGGAGGCAGCGGAGCCGGAGGCAGCGGAGCCAGAGGCAGCGGAGGCAGGGCCAGAGGTGCCAGAGGCACTGAGGGTGCTTCGGGCGGCTGCGGCGATCCTGCGGGCAGAGGCCCTGGCACGGGAGGAGAGGGCAGAGCAGGCGGATCAGCGACCAGCGGTGGAGCCACGGGCTGAGAGCGCGGCCGAGGCCTCGGAGACAGGGGAGAGGGGGCCGTGGCTGTGGCCAGAGCCGGCACCATCGGCACCAACGCTCAAGCGGCCGACAGCAGACGCGGCACCACCGGTCCCACCGTTCAGGCGACAAGCCTCGTGCCCGGAACCGCAACGAGGACATCGGCCGACGCTCCAACGACAGACGTCGGAGCCCGCGGCGCGCCGATGGACACTGCTCGAGCCCAAGGATTTGCCCGAGTCCGTGGTCCGCGCACAGGCCGGTGCGAGGCTGACGGGCCGGCGCACCAACAGGCTGGTGACGGAACGCGGCGTCCGCTACCGGGTCACGATGTCAGCCGCGGGGACAGCGGTCTTCCGGGACCAACATGCGGGACGAGCGTAATAAAAAAAAATAAATGAATGGAAAATCGTAACGGGGACCGGCATCAATTGAAATGCGCGCGCGCAGGCAAGAGCTGCGCGCCGAGTCAGCGGAAAACCAAGGTTCTCCGCTTCTCGAAGAAAGAGGGGAGTGTGAGGGAACGTGTCCCTCACAGGCTGTAGAGGGTTAAAGCCAGGGGCTCGGATATCCGAACACGGCGAGTTTAGAAGAGGCGCTCAGAGAGCGGGGAGCCCGAGACGGCGGCGCAGAAGAGAGTGGAAGGATGGGATCGGGCCGGCAGCGGACCAACGCATGCCCAAATATGGCCATGGAATCGGGGTCCAGTTACGAAGAAGGGAGAAAGCATCAGAATCCGGCTACCTTTTTGTGACTGGCGCACCCTCTTGGCAATCGGCCGCGGATATATTCCTCCCACCGGCGGTTCCGTCCCCTCGAAGTGCGCACTCGTCGGGTTCTCGATCCAGCTCACAAGCCCACTTATTCACTTAGCTTCACGTATTATCGCCTTTAGCATTGCCCTGGGCGTTGTAGCTTACGAGTCTCACTCAGATCCATAATCAGAGTGAACAACAGATTTTCGGACGAGGTTAAGGTAGAGAAAGGCGAACCGTTGGAGTGCGGAATTGGTGTGGCGGATTAAGATCAATTGCCCCAGTTCAGCGGCACCAACGTGCAACGCCCGGAGCCAACCGTCAGAAATCGACAGGTCACAAGATAGCGGTAACAATGCCATAAGCTAGGCTAAGCGATAGAGATTAATA